TCCCCCCCCCCCCCCTATACACACTTATTGCTTGTCAAGAGTTTTTCTATCATATTAGCATGACTTTGTGTTATTTGCCCTCGGCCTATTTATTAAACTAGCATTAGGGTACGCGCTTTGCGCGTGTACCCTATATCAATAAATATATATATTTTTTTAAAAATACAAAAAAATATTAGATAAAGTGAATTATTGAATAATATAAAATAAAAAGTATAAGTTCTTAAATATGATGAACATTGATCCTTTTTAGCTTGTTAGCTCGATAAATAAATAATAATATTAAATCTTAAAAAATACTCTAATATTAGAGTTAATACTTTATAAAAAATAACGTAAATATAGGAAGTTATCATTTATTAGAATGATTATAAAAAGAAAAACAAAACAAAAAAGACTTCATATGTAGGTTATCATACGAAAATTTTAACCGAATGGTCATATAAAATAAAGGTCACATTGTTATTTTATTATAATATTCAAATTTTAATTGATAAAGTTATTTTTTTAGACCCTTAAATTATAATAAAAGAGAAACAATAGCTGAAACAATGGTAATATCACAATGAAAGGATATCACAATGGAAGTTTAGCTTTGCTTTGAATGGCAAATACTCACGTTAGTTTTGATTTAATAAATATGTTACACGTCATATAATTCTATATATTAAGATTTTTACATAGTTCAAATAAAAAAATATAATAANGATTTTTCAAGGATTTCTTCTTCTCCAAATCAATTGTAAGTCGATTTTAACTAACTTCCTTCAATTCTTAACATCTTCTAACATGATTTCAACTTCAAATCAATGATTTTCATGGGGGAAATTAGGTGTTTTGGGTAGAACCTAGGTTTTTCAAAAATTGGGGATTTAGACCTCGATTTGAGGTCCGATTTCAAAACAAATTATATATTTGAGTTCGTCGGGGAATGGGTGATCGTGTTTTGGTTCGATCTCGGGTTTTGACCATGTGGGCCCGGGGGCGATTTTTGACTTTTTGGGTAAAACTTTAAAAAACTCATTTTCATGCATTGGGGTTGATTCATTTAGCGTTTATTGATGTAATTAAGTAACTTGTGACTAGGTACGAGCAAATTGGTGGTGGAATCAAGGGGTAAAGCTGTAATTGAATTGTGAATTGTGTTCGCGGCATCGAGGTAAGTGTTAGGTCTAACCTTAGCTTGAGGGATTAGGAGTTGTGTCTATTTGCTACGTGTTAATTATGGAGTACGACGTATAGGCATGGTGATACTACACTCTGCACTCTTGAGGCTAGGCACTTACCAGCACATGGGGTCGGTTGTGCTGATACTACACTCTGCACTCTTTTTTGCAGACCCCTGCGTTGTGGACTTCGGACCGCAATGAGATTTCTGATTCTTGATCGTCAAGCGACCCGAGGTAGACCTGCAGGCGTCCGCAGGCCCTGGCTTCTCCTCTATCTTCTATTCCCTGTTTCATTTTCCTTATTTCAGAAACGGTGTACTATTATTTCTTCAGACTTTGTGTGTAATGAATCTTAGACTGTTTGTGACACTGTGACACCAGGTTTTGGGTGGTTAAGGCTTGAGTAATTGTAATAGACATAGATTCCAGATATTTCATTATTTTCTTCCGCTTAATTTAACTTTTCGTTGTTTATATGTTATCGCTTTGTGTTTGATAAAAAGGAATAAATGGATAATGAAGTAATTAAATTTTTTAGATATTTAAATCAAATCATTAAAAATATCAGTGTTTGGACTAAATTTAAGCATAGTTTTATTTTAGTGTCTAAAAGAATTTTATTCACCAAGTATTATTTATGTACAAGACTCAAACTATTAAAAATTAAAAAAACAACCATCGATTCCTTGGTCATGTGTTCCAAATATCAGTCCAACTACGGACTAAACAGATACCTCTGTTATTACCTATAGAATTATTCTTCTAAACAGACATAGATTTAGATAAGGGATAAAAACTCAATCTTTCTTAACTTGCAAGCAATGCTTGGTTTTATCATCCCTCTGTAGAATACATCTTGCACAATTAGTAGCAAGTAGATACAGGTAGCAATAAGATTTAGGTATAGTTCGGCTGGACAAGTCCCAAACAAGAATAGATACAAGCAGCCCAAATTATCGATTTTGACAGTAATCAATCATTAAATTTTAATTTTCACCCCAAACAATAGTTTTAAGGTTCGAATAGTGAAGAAAGTTGGTATTTTTAGTGAGAAAAACCTATTTTCGCAACAAAGTCAAGAACATAAACAATATCTAAGGACTTGTGAATGCTGCTGATCCATCATTAGTAGGGAGGGAGAAATTCAAAAATAGCCAGATTTACAAGTGGTCATTCAAAAATAGCCAAAGTAATCGAAATTTAACCACTTTTCATATAAAGATAAATTAGAACGAAAACACTGTTCGAAATCTGGAAAAATACTCCAGTATAATATACTAGAGTTCCAATATAATATACTGGAACTCCAATATAATATACTGGAGTTCCAGTATAATATACCGGTCCAGCATAATATACTGGAGAATGGAGCACCGGTGCTCCAATCTTCCTGCTGGAAGTTCATACACAGATGCACCGATCTCCAGAATATTATGCTGGAACTTTCCGTGTTGCAAACGCGAAATATTTTTGAATGACCCGTCCGAAAACTGACTAGCCCGTGCTATTTTTACTCATTAGTGGGTTGTGCCATAGGCCCACTCATCATTTTAATTTTTCTAGTATTATTGAATTATTTATTGCAGGAAAAAATTATATATATTCCTTCGTACAGTTACTCTCACTTTTTCACACAAACGAATAGCCACTTTACTCTCACTTTCGTCTTTAGCCGAGAATGTAGGGTTTGCTGTTCATGATCTCTCTCCATACTTGCAAGTAAGTTTTTCATATGTAGAATTGGTATAAACTGATTTTAAAAGTTTCTATGATTACGCTTATTCTAGCTTCTCAGGTTCAGAATTTTGGGATATTATAAAGTAAAGTTAAGTTGGCTCAGTAGAATAAAAAATTGGCCGCCATTCACGTGATAGTAAGGTCTGAATTAGACTTCTGATGCTTGTGCTTTGGGATAATCATCCTATTATATATTGCAATACACTCTCAGATTCTTCACGTTTTAAGTTCTGGCTATTTATATAAGGTGTGTGCATTGGATTGCAAGCTCTTTGATTTCTCCATTTTTTGAGATTAATTAAAGAAGAGAATCTTGATTAGTTTATGAGTTTGCGTACATGCAATTGGTGACTGTTTCACTACTGTGTCAAAAATAATTTGATGATGAAGCAAGTGCAAATATTTTAGTGTATTAGATCACACCTATCCAAATTCAATCTGAAAGATATTCCAAACCTCCTAAGATAATGTAGGCCCTATCCTAGTTCTTGCCTCTTGTAACTACAATTTGTATTCCAATTATAGATTATATAGTTGCTGCAATTTTAATTATCTACATGCCGTGATTTTATCTTAATAAAAGGATTGCAAAGAAAGTTAAGGAAGTCCCATTACATAGGCTTAACTTGTTCCTTATGTTTTAGCTTTCTTTCTTCAGTGTGTTTGTGCTTTAATATAATATAACATATGAGATTTGCCTGAGGGTTTTGAAATAAAACTTGCAGCAGTTATCAGCCAAACAAAATGACTACTTCTGAAGAAACTAAATTGAGCATGAAGCTTTTGATTGACACCACGGCTCGCAAAGTCCTATTTGCTGAGGCTGAAAAGGATTGTGTTGATTGACACCATGGCTCGCAAAGTCCTATTTGCTGAGGCTGAAAAGGATTGTGTTGATTTCCTCTTTCACATTCTCTCCTTGCCAGTGGGAACTGTCACTAGGCTTCTTAAGCAGAAAGAAATGAAATGTGGATGCTTGCCTAACCTCTACGAAAGGGTCGAAAATCTTAATAACAAGTACATTCAGTCCAACCAATGCAAGGATATCCTTTTAAAACCCAAGTGTTCAGTTGGGAATATCACTTCAGTTCCTTTTCTATTGCTTAATGACGTTGCGACACCTGAGAGGAGTTTCTATTGCTGTTCCAACAATAGTGGCCACTTCAATGTTTCTGATGACCCTAGTGCTCTATGTCCTGCTTGTCGATATAGTATGTCAAGAAAGTTGACGTATGTTGCTCCGCCGGATTCAAAGGAAACTGAGGCAGCTACTCGGGGTTTTGTGAAGGATGTAATGACATATATGGTGACGGATGACTTAGTGGTTAAGCCCATGTCCACCATTTCTAGCATTGCCCTTCTCAACAAGTTTAGTGTCCGGGATATTGCTGTGCTGCAGGAGGAAGTAGTAAGTTTTGGAATGGAAGAGGTAATCAATTATACTGTGAACTTAAAGAATTCATATACCAACACTGCGTTTTAATCTGTTATAGCATGCTTGTAGGCTTCCAATCTCACATTTTTTTAGGTGACCTAATAGTATTAAAATATGGTTACACTATTCATGTGTTTGAAAATAAGCTCAATAAATTTTGCTCGTTATGTGTCTTTTTGTATTTCCTTTCTTCTTCTGGTAAGTATTTCTTACTTAGTGAACTCCTCCTATCATTTTTGCAGGCGCTGGAAAGCATCTTTAAACAGTTCTGACAAGTGTTTTCATGAGCCGCATAAAAATGGAGAAATAGTCATAAGAGAGAATGGAATTGGATGTTTCAGGTTGAGTAATTGCCTTAAATAGTAATGGTTTTCTTTTGTTTCATTCTCGCTTGAGTTGATTCTGATTTGTAGGTTCATCAATTGTTAAATCGTACTTTTATGTATAGCTTGAGCTTCTTTTTGTTATGTCCTCTGTTTTCATCATGTGTTACAGAGCAGAGCTCCCTTCCGCAAGGTGCCTCATTTGTGTTATCAATGAGTAAGCTTGAACACCATTGTTCAGCCACTTAAGTTGCTCAGTTTTTAATAAATATCTAGGTTTTTCTTACAAATTGTATAGATTGCTCCTTAAAAGGCTCTCATCCCATCATTAGTGCCTTCAAATAAGGGATTCAATTACATCCTTTCCTTTTTTTCCCTTTCCTCTTCTCTCTCCTTTTTTTTTTTTTTACATTAAAAATCCCTTAATCTACACCAAGAATCTCCATCTTCTCTCTTCCCACCATTGCTGACAACTTTATATTATTAAAAATTTAAGAAATATTCAGAAATTGTATGATAACTATATCATACTTGTATTTGAATTCTATCAGATACATCAATCCTAAAACATTATTGTATCATATTTATAATCCAATTGTATCTAACTTGTATTTGGTACATTAATACCCAAAATAATACCTGATACAATATTAATAAATTAATATACAATTATCATATATTTGTATACAAATTGTGAAATTCGTCATGAACTAACAACTGCTCGTAATAATATACAATGAATATACGATTACCATACATTTGTAATACAATTCCTGCAGCAACTATGATACATATACAATTATAATACAATCACGATACATTTCTGAAAAATTGTGATACAATTATGATCTTCATCTTCTTCAAGTTTCAATCACAACTCTACACTAAAAATCTAATATAATCGTATTATAACTGTATTAGTATTGTATCGAGTATTGCTTTTGGTATAGATGTATCATATATAAGTCACATACAATAAAGATTATAGAAAGAAAGAAAACAAGATTCAAAACTTACCCACGGCTTAATTCTAGAGTAATATTCTGAATTTCGTCTACAGTGTATGAATAAGAAATAGAGATTTCGGGTGAATAGTAAAATTTTAAAAAGAGAAAAATTGGGTTTGAAAATCTTTGGAAAAGGAAACGAATCGGAAATTTGGGTGATATAAAAATAAAAAAGAGATTTTGGGTGATTATTAGGAAAGAGAGAAAATAGAAACAGTATCTTAAATGTATGGGAGGATTTTTGGAAATGGGCTAAAATGAAGGGATCTTAATTTTTTTCTTTCTTAAGGTTTTGTATATAACTTGTAAATTTAGATATATAAAGTAATTAATAAGGAATCTAAATAAAGGTGGTAAATATGTTTCTGTTACAGTATAACTAGGTAAAAACCATTCTTTTTTCCTCTTTGGGTACTCCCACTGTGCTTAAATCATGGGCCGATGCCACTTTCTCCTTCTCTTTTATAGTTTAGGAGTATGATTGTATAGTTTTCTTACTGCTTTGTTATTTTGTTGTTATTAATGTTCCTGTCTTCACTATTTTTAATATGAGTGTGTTTGGCTAAGCTTATAAACTGGTCAAACTAGCTTATAAGCACTGACTTATCTATGAGTTTGGTGAAGTTAAAAGTGCTTATAAGCGCAAGTACTTATAAGTAAAAAATAAGCCAAAAGTCATAAGCTGGTCACCCCCAACTTATGAATTGTTAGCTTATAAGCACTTTAAGTTTGAACAAGATTTTTATTATTTTATCCTTAAAATATTCCGTTTTAGAACAAAACTCCTACATTGATACTCACTGTCTCAAGTATTTTTTCAACCTAATCCCCCCCCTCCCCCGCCGCCGCCTCTTCAATTCTGCAATTCTCGTTGACTATATAAGGTAAGCAAATTCTCTATTCATTTGCATGTTTATATCTATGTGATTGTGTATTAATCTTTGAACTGTATGTAATAAATGATGACATATCAATTTTTTGGTGTATTGCTTTCTAAGTGTTGTGGCGATGAAGACAGTGTTTGTTTCTCTTCAAATATCTTGTCCTATTTAGGTTTATTTTTTATTGAGAACTTTTGTCAATTTATTAATTATTATAACCTATGATTATATGCTTATCATAAAATAAATTACGTTAATAGTAAAACTTATATTATCCAAGCACAATTGTATTTAAAATAAAATGACAAATAGAATATTTTATATTTGAATCGATCTGGAATCTAAAATTTTAAAGAAATTACGCCCTTATAAGTGTAAAAAGTTCTAAGGTTATTTAAGTCAATTTAACAGAAAAAATGCTTATCAACACTTTTTTATCAAATACTACAACAACTTACTATCAATTAGAGCACTTGTACCCAAACACGTAACTGCTTGTTTTTTAAACCAGTTTCAACATTTAAAAGTGCTTTTCAGCACCTAATGCTTATCAGCTACTTCAAATTAGCTAATCCAAACGGGCTCTATGACTTCTTCATAACTGCTTTTCTTGTTCAAACCTACCGAGAAATGCTTTTCTTAAGTCGAGGATTTATCGAAAACAATCTCTCTATCTCCATAGGGTAAGGATAAGTTGTGCATACACATTACCTTATTTAAATCCCATAGTACTATGGGAATACATTGAGTATTTTATTATTATAGTATTTCATATAAATTTTAAAACTAACAAATATGTTAATAGAACAAATGAAATGATATAAATGTAAAGCTATTTGTGGAAATTTTATCTCCACGAGAAGATAAAGGTGGAGTTACTGTTCCCTTGAACTTCAAAAAAGAGATGAGGATGCATTTGAGACTAGTGAATGACCAATCAAGCAAAGACACTTGTTTCTGAATTTGGTGATTTTATTTTTTTCTTTCTTTCCTGTCATCATTTTATTCTTATCTCAAATAATCAAAAAGTATTACTTCCTAATCCATTCGTTCATTTTTACTTGTTTGCTATATTAAAAATATATTTTTATTTTAACAAATTAAGAAAAGATATTTTTTCTGCTTTACCCTTAGCGTTTAACTACTTATTTCTTAAATTAATTTTTAAGACATTTGAAAAAGTACCATTATTATGAGTATAATTGTAAAATATGTGCTTTATATTTTTTTTTGTTTTTTTAAAGGAACTGTAAAGTCAAAAGTAAATAAAAATGAACAACTGAATAAAAGATAAAATCTTTTTTTTTCAGCTTCCTTTCCTTTCATCGTAGTTTTTGTTATTATATGTCCAAATCCTCGTTCAAAACAAGTGTGCTTCGTAAAAGAGAAACTTATTCCATGTTTAATTTAATACTTTATTAATAGAAAATTTAATCTCCTATAGCAAAGGTATACACCCTATTTATTATAAACTAAAATTATTTTAAAATATTATTTTTTATAGCTACCTTTTATATTTTATAGCAAAATAGGTATTTATAATATATACTACGATTGAGACATGCAATATGCTATTTATGTTTTTCCTCTCTCTTTCTTTCAATCAACACAAGATTCTCTTCTAAGATTTTTCTTCTTTCTCTCTTTTCCTTCTCTCTTTCTTTCAATTAACACACGATTCTCTCTCACAATCCCAATAAAAATTTTCTTCTTTCTCTCTCCTTTCGAGCAGAATACCTGCTTAGTTTATACGCTAGATATTGCAATGGATTTGTACTGCTTAGTTTCTACGCCGGATATTTGCAATGGATTTATACTACAATATTAGAAAGAAATAGACAGTGGCTTTCTTCTACGCCGGATATTGGATTTCTCAACACGGATACTGCAATATTTTTTACGCTGGAGAAGATTTGAGGGCCGAGGTGTTTGTTCGTCTCCATTTTTAGTTTTAACACAATATATACAATATTTTGCTTGGCCGGAAAACGCCAACTCCGGCGAACTTTCTTCCCTTCTTTGCTATTTAGTCACATACAATGATACAAACACATTGTATTCTATATAAATTCACTCAAATACATTATATATTTGTATAAATACATTATTTTTTTCTTTATTTATGTATTTCGAAGGTTTGTAATTTTAATACAGCTGAATACACCTGTATTCATGCATGAATACATGATATAAATATTACACTGAATACAAATATTAAAATAGAACAGAATATAAACAATGAATACATTTAATTTTAAAATATAGTGAAATACAGTAAAATACACTAAAAATTATTCTAATTAATTGGGTTGAAAATGAGGCATGTAAGAATTAATTTTGTTGAGTTATATTAGGAGTGTATCACGCTAATTGATATTATTTTCGTTATTAGACAGCTGAACATACCTATTTTTAAGGTGATTGTCGTTATTGTATTCATGAATACATGGGGCAAATACATTTGAATACATGCGCGTATAGCTGGACTACCCTAATTTTAGGTGTTTTTTCCTGTTGTATTCATAAATACAGCAGCTCGAATACATATGAATACACTACCGTAACAACTGAATAGTAGCTATAGGAACTAATTATGTATATGATAACTATAAGAAGTTAATAGTCACCAAACAATAGTGATTTCTGAAAATTCTATCTTCCGATTATGTTATGGACCTACTTGTGTAACTAATACAATTCAAATTAATTATTCAAATCTACTTTCAATTAAGTACCACAAAAGAACTTCCACTCCTGTCTTCGTTACCATACCCCAAACAAATGAAATACTTAAGTGGAATTAGGTGAGTATTTTATTTTAGAAATTAATCAATGACTTTCAAAAATTGGAAAAAAGATTCAAGTTGTTAGAAAATTTCATGAAAGTAGGTTACATTGGACCTTTAGGCATCCGCACTATCTTTTGAACATGTTTTGTTTAACAATTTTTAAAAATTATTTTTATTACAAGGGGAGAGGAAGGGGAAAAAGGGATGAACAAAATGCTCTATTATTGATTGAGTTTGAACTATCCACCAAACTGGGATAGCCTTTAACCCCTTGGACATGGTTTAGTTTGAACTTTGATTTTTTTTGTTTGGCTTCATACTTTAACTCATTTAAGAGCCCTGTGCTCTGTGCTGATGGGAGGTACAAAATAGACTTCTTTACATAAGTAGCCGGTTATATTCATTTATGTCACGACCATAACCTCAAACCCGGTCGTGATGGCGCCTCTTGTGAAGACAAGTCCAGC